AAGGCTGTGGACTGTCAGAAGAACAAACAAGTCAGTCTTGGAATAAGTGCATCCAGAATGCTCCCTAGAAATGAGGATGGTGAGACTTTGGACATGTGGGTGAGACCTGTCCCTGGAAAGGGACCTCATGCTTGGTGGAGAGTCCGGGAAAAGAGGAAGACCCTCAAGGAGGTGGATTGGCACCGTGGTTACAACAATAGGCTCAAACATAATCACAAGGATGGTTCAAAACTGCACAATGTTTTGTTCTTCTGTACTTGGGTCATTATGAATCAGAACCAACCAGCACTTTACAACCACAGGGATGAGGTAGATACTGTATCTTAATTCCCACGTGGCTCCTGGTCTTTGTCTCAGTTAGTTCAGAACCCCAAAGTGAGAGGAGTTAGCCCTTGGCACCAGTCACCCCAGGAGAGCTCATGTTGTTTCCTAAGGAAGAGCCCTGAATCACAAGAATGGAGAACTGGATTAGAGAGGAGTGGCCTTGGACAAGTTACTGACCAGCTAACAGAAAGGTTTCTTGAGCACCTACCATGCACCAGGCACCAAGAGAAGTCAAAGAAGAGTAAAACAATTTCCCCAACCTCAACAAATGTACAAGTCAGGTAAGAATCAGTAACCATGCTACCTAGCAGTACATGATACCTCAGTGTAAAATGCCTCACCTCCCCCCTGAGCCCCATATCCAGCAGGAACACAGAGGATCACTTTAGAGGTGAGCTTGTAGAGGCCTAGAGTGAGACATACGTGATGGGAGCCACCCATGGGGCGACCCTAGCATTGGATGGGACTTCAAAGGATGATTAGGGTGCTGACGGGGAGAATATGGGGTGCGCTGGGGAGGCTGGAGAATGTTCCAGGAGGAAGATACAAAGGCACAAAAGCAGAAAGCTCGTGTTGGACTCATGTTGACGGCGATGGGGACAAGGAGAGTGAGGCTGGTCAAAAAAGGGTGTTGTCCATGTGGCCTCTGAAAGAATGCTTATTGGTGGAACGCCAGAGATGATGGTGCTCAGACAACCTTCAGTCGTAGAACTAAACTCTCCCCTCTTGGCTCAGCGTTCAGGTCCATAAGGCAAATAGGTACATCAGGGAGGTCACACGCCTTAAAACAGCGGTTCTCAACCTGTGGGTCGTGACCCCTTTGGGGGTCAAATGACCCTTTCACAGGGCTCGCCCAAATCATACAGTAGCAAAATTACAGTTATGAAGTAGCAACGGAAATAATTTTATGGTTGGGGTCACCACAACATGAGGAACTGTATGAAAGGGTCGCGGCATTAGGAAGGTTGAGAACCACTGCCTTAGAAGAGCCAGCCATGGGAGACCCAAAGGGCAGCATCTGCCTAGGGACAAGGCTCCGAAGGGCAGGGGAAGGTAGGAAAGAAGGATGAGTGGAAACAGGAAACGGGAGCTGGCTTTCCTTTTCGAGATGAAAAGGGATGAAAGTCAAACCACTGATTCACACGCTTTTCAGCCATTGGCTTTACCTCGACACTTGGTTTTCCAGCGTCCAGCATGCCTCAGGTATACGCCCCAGCGACTCCAACTCAAAGTGGCCCCATGTGTCTCAGAGTACCACTGGGTTTTCAAAGGCCAATTTGGTTTAAAGTAAATTTCCAGGCTTTTCTCCCAAGGGCCTTGTGAGTGGACGTGAGCCTCCACGTTTTCAGTTAACAGCAGGGTGTTAACCATTGTACCAGCCAGAGACCCCACTGTCCCCCATTGCCCTCAGAGTGGGGTCCCCACTGCTGGAGATCTCAGAAAGCAGTGCCTGAGGTCACCCCTGTTTTTCAGTCCTTCTGTTGCATTCAGCTTTTTTCCCCCTGGGGTTCAGACAAACAGAGTCATATGAGGGGAGGGGAAGAGGGTACAGGGGCCCAGTAATACCATCCCCAGCTCTCCCACCTCTGTGTTCTCCCAGCCTTGCCCTGCCCCAGGGCATCCAGCCCAGACACACCTCACTGTGTGTCCCCCTTCTACGGTGTGAAGCCAGTCCTCATGGCTAATGTGTCAGTGGGGAAGGGGCTGGATCTCTTCGCTGATAAGCCGGTGTGGAGGCCTGAGCGGGGACCAGGGAGCCAACTCCTCAGGGCTTTCCTCTCCTCCCAGGAGAGAAGCACCGCTCGGGCTTGGAGGGACCCAGTGAGAAACGCCTGTCCCCACCTCTTCCATCAAATCTCACTCGGTCTTCAAAGCCTTCTCAAGAAAGCCTTCTGGTTCGACTCCAATGATCGCATGTATTTCTATCTACTTTATACGAGAGGGCAATTGAACTATGGTGCTGGCAAAGAATATTGAAAGTACCATGGACTGCCGAAAAAAAAACCCAACAACTCTGCCGTGGAAGAAGTGCAGGCAGGAGAGGCAAGGATGGCGAGACTTTGTCGAACCTTCAGTGGACATGTTGTCAAGAGAGACCCATCCCCAGAGAAGGACATCATGCTTGGTGGAGGGGCAACAAAAACAGAGGGATTGACACAGTGGCTGCAACAATGGGTTCAAACATACGAACAGCTGTGAGGTGTGGGCCCGAGCAGTGCTTCTGTCTGCTATGCATGGGGTTGCTAACGGTCCGAACCAACACCGTGGCACCTCACAACCACAGCTTAGGAGAGGGCTCCAAAAAGTTCATGGGCGAATGCCATGATAGCTTTTTACAGCCATTTCATTGACATACACTCCATGTACTGGTTTAGATGTATTACAAAGAGTCACACAATCATCACCACATCAGTTTTAGATCATTTTCTTCATTCTTGCATCCATTGTCATTGACCCCCAAGCTTCCTGTCATCACCCTGAGGATCAATCCATCTGGTTACTGTCTATGAAGTCACCTACCCTGGGTTTCATAGAAAGAAAACAGTGCCAAAGACAATAAAGCCCATCAGCAGCAACAAAATAAGACACAGATAAAGTGCAACCCAACAGAAAGTAGAAAATCACCAACACTAGAACAAGTTAAACAGGGGTCAAAAGGGAAAGTAGATTTTCATTTCATTTTTCCACCTGTTTTTTTGAAGCCTCTTCATATTACAAATGGTTGGTTCACACACCAGTCCCTTACCCCGGGATGTGAACCCTGTGAAGTCAAGAGCCGCTTTCGCTCCGTGCTAGCACCCCTGGCACGGTGCAGGCACTCGAAACGTGCGACGGACTGGGACGCAGAGCACATGGGTCCCAGACAGGAAGAGGAGGCAGATCGGTGAGAAACCCAATTCTCTGGTCTTCAAATATACCTGCCAAGACTGCCATCGCCCCTCTGCCAGCTTCCTTCCTACATGCAGCCCCTTGTGAGGAGAGTCGGTGTTGGGGCAGGAGGAGAGCCATTTCTCTTTTTGAGTAAATTCAAGACAGAGGCAGAGTGGCGTCAAGCAAACCCAGAGCTTGATTTAGACAAAACCTCATTGCCATCAAGTCAGTGTTGACTCATAGGACAGGGTAGGCTGCCCCGGGAGTTTCCAAGACTGTCATTCTTTTTTTTAAATCATTTTATTGGGGGCTCATACAACTCTAATCACAATGCATCCATCTATCCATGTGTCAAGCACAGTTGTACATTCGTTGCCATCATCATTCTCAAAACATTTGCTTTCTGCTTGAGCTCCTCATTTTTCCCCTCTGACTAACTCTTGACAGTGGAAAGCCCCATCTCTCCCTCAGACCCAGTGCTGGTTTCCACCTGCCGACCTTGCAGACAGCAGCCCAACATGTCACCACTGCACCACCACAGCTCCTACTCCAGTGCTTGATAGGAAGTAGAATCAAGTAAAACCCGAATCTCTCTGGTTGCCCATAGGTCTATACAAGACCCTTCTCTAAGCCTCTTACTGTTCCTCTTTCAAATGGGGGCGATGCTCTCTTCTCCCCTATTCACTGTCAAGAGAAGTTCATTAATGCAGCAGCCATTCACTAAGCAACCCCCTAAGCATCAAACTCTGTGATGGGCACAGAAGAGTCAGGTTGTTGGCTTTGAGTGCTGTGATAGTTAAATTTGGGAGGGGGGGGCAGCATGGCACCTATAAGAAGATATGGGTGGAGTTTAGCCTGTCAATCAGGTTGCAGCTTGATGACCTCCTTTGGAGGTGGGACCAAGATAAATGGCTCTCTGAAAGCTCTCTGCCTTCACCTTCATGCCGGCGAGCCACTCTGAGACCTGCCAGAGCCCTGTGACGCATCCATCGCCATTGGATCCACAAGACTGCACCCACCGGCCTGCAATCTTCCTGCACTCTGCATCAGTGCATGTGGCTGCCTGAGTCTGAAGAGGGACTGATGGACTAGAATCTGACTGATAGACTTGAGTTGGGCTGGGCCAGGACGTTTTTGTGAAATATAACTACTTCTTGATAGAAGCTTTTTCTTACACATATATGCGTGTCACTGGATTGGTTTCTCTGGTCAACCCAGCCTAACACGAGTGCCTTTGGGGAAGTGGCCTTGGTGGAAGCTCCAGAGTTTTAGCAAATAACCAGTCCCCAAAGACCTGTGCTTTCTAGGTCGGGCAATCCCTCCCCTTGGTGTGGCTCCTTAGGCCCAAGGGGAAGAAAGCTGAGCACATTAGCGAGGTATGTTCTCTGCTCATGATGCTCCTCATTTGAGAGGTCTGGGATGGCTGATTTGGATGGTCTTGTCTGACCAGAACCTCCGAGAAGATGGTGGAGAAGTAAGAGTATTGCCCAGGAGCCTCGGTGCTGGAACCTGACTATTACAACTGACTCCCTGAGTGATCCTGGATAGTTTTCTCAACCTCAGCCAGCTCACCTGTAAGATGGGTGCCTATCTTGCTGATCTCCCAAGTTTGTTGAGTTGAATGAGAAAACATATGGAAAAGACCTTACAAAGCATCAGATTCAAAATATGCAGCCTCTTAGGAGGCAGCCACCAGTGTTCGGGAGCAGCGCGCTCTGTTTGGGAGGACAGACAAGGCTCCTTCCCTGCCCTCAGGGAAGATCTCCCAGCCCAGCTCAGCTCAAGGTTGGGCCTAAGGAACTCACCATCCTCACACAGGTTCAGCTTGGAGAGGCTTCTGCCATCAAAGGGCTCCTCAAAGATGGAGCTGGTGTCTCGGTCGCTCACGGTGTGCAGGTACATGGCTTTGTTCTCCATCCTGCCCTGCAGCCGCCAAGAGGAGCACGGGGAGGAGGGTGAGGCGACAGGCAGGGGAGGTGAAAGAGAATGAACAGTCGGTAAAAACCCAGGCAAATGGCTGGAACAAAGCACCCACTCCCACAACCTGATCTTGAACCTGGGTCCTAATCTTGTCAATAGGACCAAGGGGCCATCCTCCAGGTACTAAGGTGCCCATCCCCTACCACCACCCATTCCTCCGCTTCCTTGGGGCCTGGGAAAGGCAGGGCGCTTTGGGTCTTTCTGATCTTGAAATGCACCCCCTTCCTTTCAGCAGCTCTTGGGTCAGACTAGAGCCCTGGACAGGCGAGGGCATGCTGGGTAGGGTGGTAGGAATAGCCTCTGCCGGCCCAAGCAGAGAGCGATTTCTGAGCCCGCAGCAGTTCTGGGCATGTGGGAGGTGGGGTTTCGCCTTGTCAGAAAGGAGGGCAGCTAGGCACAGAGGGGAGCTGAGGAGGCTCCTCTAGGGGTGTCCACCAGCCAGCACGCTGAGACCAGAACTGGTTGGGCTGGCCTTGTCAGAGGGGCTTGGTTCACTGGGACCCCTGCCAAGGACTCCTCTCCCTGGAGCCTGAGGCACCAGCAGGCTCTGGACGTGGCCCCCCGGCTCTACAAGTGGGGAAGTGGGGATGGCCGTGGTACCCAGGTGATGCCCTGAGGATCTACCACAGGGCACCATTAAAAACAGTTCCAGAAAAAGACCCACGGGCCTCAGAAAGTGCCGAGCTGATCTAAGACCAAAAGAACCAGCCGTCCACACACCAGTGTGAGCACTGCCTTCCCTGTGGTAACTGAGCCGGCGGCCTCAGTAAGCGTCCAAAAGGGCTGGGAAGGCCATCCTCGGCCGGGAAGGCAGCATCGGGACTTCAGACTTCTTCCAGTCTGCTGGGTTTTGTGTTGGTTTTCCCTATGGAGACTTTGTGGAATTAGTGTCATACAACACATCCTGGTAAACACCTTTGGGGGGGACGATTGTCCCCAGCCAGTGCTTGCATCTCCCGAGGGAACACACTCCCCCACTCCAGGGCCAGGCTGCCTGTGGAGCGATGTGCCTCCCTGTGCTGGGCTGGGTCTGGACGCTGAGTCAAGGGGGTGAGGGGTAGGATGGGGGTGGGGAGTGTTTTCCTTTCAGCCTGAAAGGCGCCCGAGGGCCAGCCTTGGGGGTTCTATTCTACCAGTCTCTATCAGAGCAATAAGCCTGGTCTTTTTTTTTTTTATGAGAAAAAAATTCCATTTTTCAAGCCAAGTTGTAAGCTATTTATTTACACAAAATGTGAAACACTTAGTTTTTCCTTACAGACACGCTCAATCATTTGCGAATTCTTCCCTACTTTGTCTCCTTTCCAGCTGTGAATGTATCTGGGTCCACCACTTATGCCCTTTCGCTATTTGGATGATATTTACCAAAATAATGCATTCTTTTAAAACAAGGAATTCTTTGGAGGAGAGAAGCGTTCAGGAGGAGGGGGCCACTGGCCCAGGGTTGGCAGGTCCAGAGCCAGGGGCCGGCACCTGGCAGGTGGCAGCAGGGGGAATAATGCTCGCTGATTGAATGGATCAATCAGCTCCTCTTCAGAGGCGGGGGAGCAAGGCATAGTCTCCATTCCCCATTGTGGGGTGGTGGGGGGAGGTGTGGGGGCAGAGAAAGAAGGGACAGCCCCAGCACTGCCTCTCACAGCAAAATGCACATTTTCCTGGGTCCCGGGCCAGCCCTCTGACATCAGGCCTGAGGAGAGGCCAGAACTGACCTGTACAATAACAACTGCCCACGAGGGACAGGACTTAGGGTCTTGTTTCTTCCAGTCATGAGATGCCACCTGCCCTGCACACACGCGCAGCCCTGGTGCGCCTCTGGTCCGTGGGCTTTGCCTGTGGCCGGAGGGAGGAGGCTGAAGCAGGGAGTCCACAGCTCTGCCAGGATCTCGCCTCCCTGCCCTGGACGTTCCGAGATACCTCCCCGCCCAGCTTCTCTGTCTTGCCCTGGAGGTGTCCCAGCCACGTGTGAACGTTTATTAATCACCACTCACCCGTCCAAGCACTCCACCCAGCCAGGACCTTGGTGGGGCTCTGAGAGTGTCCCCCATGCGTGCAGCAGGGCTGGCCCTCGCTCCCCTCACTGTGTGTGGCACCCTCCCTCTGGCCTCTCTCCTCCTGAGGTGGGGGGGGGGTGCAATCAGGAGGCCAGCTTGCTGATGCCTTGACCACTCCCTCTCTGTCAAAGACAACTGCTGCAGCTGCCAGGGGGGAACGCCGCTCAGGGATGCATGTGGAGAGTGGGGGTGAGGTGTGGCCCCATCTTCGCTTCCACCTTCCTGGTCTGTCCATCCGCTCCTGGACTAGGGCTGGATGCAAGGCCTGTTATCGGAGTCTGCCTGGGCACTGGTCTCCTCCCCCACCGGCACTGGTCCCTGGGAGCCCTGGGGAGAGGGCTTGGGGCTGGCAGCAGCTGTGAGTTAAGATGAGTTTGGGAAACGTGTGGCCAATTCTGCTGTTTAGTGCCTGGAAAGGAAACATGACTACGCTCTGTCTGCCCCAGGTTTGATTTGGGGCTGTTTGGTGTTTTTAACCCAGCCCCCCCTGGGGGAGATGGGGGCACGACCCTTAGATCATTGGTCTTAGAAGCCACTAGACAAGCTCTTGTACTCAGGCACAAGTGACTGCTGAGTGTGGTGGCCATCATGCTCCCCAGCCAGGCCCTCCCAGGTGACTGGCCTCGTCCCCCAGCACTGCTGTGAGGGAGCAGGAGAGTGGTGTCCTTCCACTCGAAGATCCACCAAGCAAGACCTGGAGAGGCCTGAGCCAAGGGAGGCCAGAAAGGGCCCAGACACCGCACCTGGGCTTCCCACACGGACACTGGCTCAGCCGTGAGTGCTCAGCCCAGCAGCACGGGTCTGTCCCTTCCAGGGACCACCCAAAGGCTCCAGTGAAAAACCACATCTCAGAGCCAGCCCACCTTCCCAGCAGGAGGCGGGAGAGAACCCCTGGGCCCAGGAGAGGCCCAGAAACCTTAGCAGAGGAAAGGAAGCCAATGTGCCCTGTGGGCAAGACCAAGCGCCTACACTGTGGTGCTTCCAGTCAAAGAGGGCGGGGTGGGGGGTGGGGGTGGGGGGTGGTGAGCATCCTGTGAACAGGGTGGGCTTCACTTTACTGATCCCTTGGGGATGTCTTCACAGTTCCTTTACGCAAGGTGCTGGGGGCCTAGGTGAGAGGGTAAGAGGCCGGAGAGCTTGTCGTGGGTTGAGCATCTCTGAGTTGAACAGCCCAGTGAATCTCTGGGAGCCTCCTACATGAACCACGAGCAAACTGAGGGAAGTGGTTTGTGGCTGGCTCCACGACTTGTTAGTTAGGAAAACTTGGCCCCATCATCTGGGCTCCTTAACCACAAGCTAATCACTTACAGGGCACCATTATCTCTCAGGGGCACTGAGAGCTGCTTCTGAGATATTGTACGCCGGAGGGCTTTGCCAATGCCATCGCTAGGGATTGATGATGGAACTAGGTGAGACCAAGAGTCAAGGTCCTGGCGTCTTCCAGTCCTGCCAAGCAGCCCCAGGGGTCCCCTTCATGCCTAGCCAGTACCAGGTGCCAAGGCTGCTCCGGGGTCTTTCCAACCCAGATGGGACATCTGGACCCTGACTCTCAAAGGCCCTCTTCAGGCAACAGGAGGGCCGCCAGGGCTGCCTGCCGAGGGGCCGCCTGGCACCTCTGCTCCTAAAACGGCTCATCTGGGTGCAAGGGTCCCTGGATGCAAGGGAATGCTGCCGCTCTTTGGCATGCCTAGTTTTAAACTCATCAAAACCAAGTGGGAAAATCACCTGAATAGGCTGTAGGCCCCTTGCACTCTCGAATTGCACTTAGTTAACCTTTTAATGCATAATCCAAAGCTTATGAGGTGCAGATGTTCTAACATCCTCTCTGGCGCTTTCCACCTGTGGACACACGTGCATGCACACACACACTGCACAGGTAGCGGGTACTGATCCAACCTCACTTTGTCACCTGTGCCATCGCTCCCTGCAGAAGCCTTGAGTGGTGGTGGCACAGCCAAGCAGAGAGCTGGCCCTGAAGTAGGTCCCCTCTAGCATCCCAAATACAGGATGTCACCCTCAGACCCAAGCAGCAGGAGGGTCAGACAGCGGGGACTCTGACACGCTGAGATTCTCGCCCACCCACAACAGGCTGTGTCTCCCAGTCTGCTCCGACTCACCTGCGGGGCGCACTGCTGAGGCGTGGGGCCGGTCTCCTTAGTTCCTGGCCTGGCCCATGGTGGACGGAGAGCTTGCTGCTGCTGCTGCTGCTGCCACACTGGGGCAAAGGCCACTCCTCAGAGCCTGTCTCCACAGCCAGCCAGATCTGGAGTCCTAGAAAGGAGCTGTGAGGGCTCTCTGGAACTTGTCTCAGGGCGGGACCACACAGGGTCACTTCTCCAGGTCAGCAGGTAAGACTCAACCTTCTGGCCTAGGGGCAGCAGCTGGGGGTGGTGCAGCCCTGAGCCCTGTCTTGGCTGCGTGGTCAGCCACAGGCAGCAGAAGCGCTCAGGAGCCGATCTGTAGAGGCACCAGCAGCTCTGCTAGGTACTGACTGAGATGGGAACTGCAGCTGCTCTGGCTTAGAGTCTTTATAAAAAGTTCTAGGAGGAATTGCGAAGGCCAAAGCCCTTGCAGTGGCGCCTGGGACACATACCCCCTCTCGTGGTCAGGCTGTGGCATTACAGCTCAACTCGGGAATGCTCGTCTGGCCCAGATCCTAGAAGCGAGCCGAGCCGTGTTCTTGGGACTCCACGGGCCTATTCTAAAGGCGCTGACTGGTCTTGCTCAAAATTCTTTTTCGGGCAGAATGGCCTCTAGACCTAGCTTGCGAGCCACCGAAGGAAACCAGGCTTGTAAACTTATTCATAGGACAGAATTGGCATTGCTGAATTCACTCACTGAACTTGGCTTGAGAATTCCCCCGAGGACCCAGGCCGCCCACACTGGGCCTCTCCCAAAGAATGCCCTATGGGCTCAACATGAATTCTCCACGGTCAAGCTCAGCCCAACTCAGCGACAAAACGGAGCAGCAGAATCAGCATGTCTGTTGTGTGGTGCCAGAGCCGGGACTCGGGAGTGGGAGACCAGCCCACTGCCCTCGACAGGATCCCCCTCCTGTAGGAGAGGTGGGCCCTTCGGCAAATAACTGTGGCCCTTGGCACGGTGGATCACAGTTTTAAAAGAACAGCTTTCCAAACTGTTAAGGGAGCAGCAGTTGGCTTCAAGTTGGAGCAGTGCTGATGGTGGTGGGTAAGGTGTCAGGGCAATTCCAGGGAGGTGTTGAGCCCTGGCAGCATCGTGTGTGTGTGTGTGTGTGTGTGTGTGTGTGTGTGTGTGTCCTCCCAAGGCCAGAGCTGTGTTCCTTAAGTAGGTTCCCGGCTGTTGATTAAAGGCCTCAGTACTTGTCAGCTCCAATACTTCAAGGTCAGGCCTTGGACACGGGAGCCATTTGCCAAGGTTCATCTCTCCGCGGTGCAACTGCCAACCCACAACCAAGTCAGAAGAGGTTTGGGTACTCAGTAAGGGGGCTCCAGACAGGCCCCGGAAGCAGCACCAGCATGAAGCTCCATCTGACAGAGGGAGGACAGGAGGAAGTTATGTCACAAGAAAATCAGTGGTCGCCAAATCTGTTACAACCCGACCCGTGGTGACCCCAGCTGGGTGACAGGGGAACTGTGCTCCCTGGGGCTTTAAGTGGTTGCTTTCTCCATCATGACTCCATGGCCTTTCCTCCAAGGTGCCTCTGCAAGGACTGGAGCCTCCCACCTTGAGCCAAGCACGCTGACCGTTTGGACCACCCAAGAGAAACCGACCATGGACCTGATTCTGACTCAGAGCAACTCCATAAGACAGAGTCGAAAGGCCCGCGGTGGGTTTCCGAGGCTGTGGTTGTTACAGGAACCGGAAGCAGGCTCCTCTTTCTCCCACGGAGCAGCTGATAGCCTGGAAGGTGAGCAGCCTGGCTCACAACTCCCTAGGCTGCCAGGGCTCCTTCTTGCATCACCCAGCCACTCCTGTGTAATAATAACACAGGGCAGCAGAGACTGATGGCGTCCATGCCGTCTTGGCACTCCCCTGTACTTTCATATACTAACTCATTTAGGCCTCCTAGTGGTGCAACAATGAAGCGCGCGGCTGCTAGTCTAGAGGTTGGCAGTTGGGAACCACCCAATGGTGTCATGGGAGGGAGACCCCAAATCTTCTCCCAGAAAGCTTACAACCTAGAAAACCCTATGCACAGTTCAACTGTAGTTCAAATCAACTCTATGGCACTTACCTTTAACAACCTCCTCAACAATTCTGAGAGAAGCCAAAACTGTACGTGGTTCCCAAGGTGGGAACAGAGAGCCTTGTCTTTCCCCAGCTAACTGACCTTGGGTTAGCAGTTCAGCACTAACCCTACAAACGCTGAGACTTCTAACGCGAACGAGAGTCCTATATAACCCCTGGACAGATGAACGCATGTTCTGGGCTCCCACTTAATTCTAGCCCCAATCCAGGAACAGTTAGTTCTTAGGACTTGGTCCTCCTCGATACTCACCCTCTAAAGAGACCACTGAAGATAAGGGTGCTACAGCAAAGTGTGGTAAAGAAAGCAGAGGGTGCCTGGCTATGGACTAGAATAGTGCCTGGGGTCTTAAAGAGTTGTATTCAAACAAGCAACCATCTAAGTGAGGTGTCAACTAAGCCCACATGTGATCCAAAGGTGACAAATCCAAAGAACCAGCCTGTGTGATCCAAAGATGACAAATAGCAAAACCCAAATACAGAGGGAAAGGTACAGAGCTTCAATCAAGAACACCCAAATTTCAGAAGGCTATGGATGACAGTGGGAGCCCAATATCCTACATGGATTAAGCCTATGGTCAATACCCTCTGACCACAGATGAGGAATGAGAATAAGCCTGCTCTCACACAGAGACTATCGCAAACTCGATTATGGGGGCGGAGATATGGTGTAATATGATACCTGGTCATTTGATCTTCCTCTTGACCCATTCTGGATTTGTTCTAGTTTTCAATATTTTGTGCTTTTTTTTTCCCGACACAGACAAACCCCCACCCCACTCTGGTTTATTTGAATGTTGCTGATGGTCTTTATATAACTATATTTATTTACTGTTTTCAGCGTCTATTTTTTGTGTCCCAGTTTATGAAGCACAAATGGGGCAGATGTAT